AGGGTAGGGCAGGGTAGGGTAGGGTCGGTCGGTCGGTCGGGTGGTCGATCGGGCGGCCTTGAGCCGCCTTCGTCGATCGCGCTGCCGTCGCTCCGTCGATCGTCGCCGTCGATCGCCCTTGTGTAGTGTACGAAAAAGAAAACTTTGTTTGGTGATGCCATTGGTCGTAGATAGCCTCTTGCCTGCCGGACCACCTGGATCTCGCTCTACATGTAGCAAGACACCATCAGCAGCATGGCAACGTAACAAGCAGGTAGCGAGCCGATACAGCAGCTGCAACATGGAGTATGTAGTACAGTGTTCCCATCTCAGGGTGTCACTCTTTTGCATCTCCGTCCTCAAGCATAACAAGACGATCGACAACCAAAACCCCACCGGCTGGTCGGCGGGGCGTACGTGTGTGTGTTGTGTAAGTTACGCCGTTACGCCCCCCTTTAGACCGCCTACGCATGATTTCAAGAGTATCAATGCATATAGAAAAGGAATAGGGAGGGGGCACGCAGACCCTATCCCTAACCCTAACCCCAAAGCATGGATTGAATACTTTATCCCATGTAATTTTCCTGCGTAGACTACTGGTGTTTGGCAAACCATGTTCTTTCACAATATGCCCCGAATCATCACGATGCAAACCTCCCCGCCAGAGGCTGCACATTGTGCGCGGCAGAGACTTACGGTACAAGTAGTCTACCACTGGGAAAAAATTCACGGTTTCACCAAGTTTCACGCTCAAATACGACATACGGGACCATCACCGTGGATGGCGGGCGTTGAAAACGTCCTGACCGCCCGAACCTACAGTAGCAGCGTGAGTAAAGCCCTTTAGAGGGCTTCAGAACCATCTAGAGGGCTTCAGAACCATCCATGCGTGTGCACACACACGCGGAAGACTGACAGCGCAAATTTGCAAACGCATGAAAAAATGTTGTAGAAAGTGGGAGCAGGAACACCAAACAAATGTGCCAGGTTTGGGTCGTGGACAACGGCTGCTGCGCGTCGGCCTCGCGCGTCGACCTTCGATCACGAGACACGGGGGCTGGAGTGTGGTCAGTCTGAGGCAGGGGTCTACTATGTGCGTCGGTACAAACGTGAGGGCAAAGAAAGCGGGAATAAATACGGCCGGAACGCCTGGTTGCATAGAGTATGTGCGAGCACAGATAGATGAAGGAATTGGGCAGAGAGATCGGGACGTTCAATGTGAAGACAACAAACGCAGCACATCTGGAAAGGGATCTCGATGGAAACCCAGGCCTGAAACAAAAACAACAAGGGGACCAAACACGGAGTCGGCAGTACCAACGGTTGTTTATATATCGAGCCTGGCTCTCAATCCTCCTGTTGATGACGCCAACGATATATTATGTCTCGCCACATGGCTGTGTTTGACATGGGCACAAAATCTGGATTGCTCCGCCCGTGAGCAACAAGGAACGACAAAGAGAGAAACGATATCTGCACAGTACCATAAGCCAACCATAGAGTTTTCGATTACAGAACAACCCCATACGAAGTATCATGTACAAAAAATACGTGGTTGCCATCCTATACGGTACAAGCGACTATTCAAAACAAATGTACACAATGACCACGCCGTCAACGTTGGGAAATGGTACACTCAATCGGCTGTGTTTTCACCGCACCAAGATAGTCACATGCGGCGCCCCAGTGGCAGTTGCATGGAATGCAACCTGCAACCCTAGATCTTGTGCTTCTCTCCGCTTACATAGAACGAGTTTACCAACACTGCTCCACCCCGCAATCAATGGTGGAACACGTAATCGCGTAATATAGAACGCTTGCCACATCCGTAAACCTCGCGGCTAGTACATACATAACCCACGCCACGCTCCAATAAACCTGTTGCCAGAGGGCTTTTCCAGCTTGTCGATGCCAGTTCTTGGCTTCCAACGAATGTACAACGGGTTCCAAAAAAAAGCTCAAATCCTATCCCACGGCGTTCGTACAACAGTGGGTGCTACTTTGAGGCCACCCGCACCACCCGTCTGCGTCAAGCACAGAGTAGGTACGCACCACGGACGGCGGTTTAGAAACGTCCCTCTTTGCCTCCACGGACGGCGGTTTAGAAACCTGGGCGCGTACTTTCTGGCTATTTCTTGCCGGATTGAACTGGGCTTCGAAGAAGTCCCCCCTTGACAATGACGAGGAACCGCAATCCCTGCTCGGAGCCGCGCGGGGCGGGCAGCCACGACCACATAGCGTTCGACGCGCTGCTGCATGGAAGGAAGGCCGACTTGATGCGACCAACCCTTGCAAACGCGTAACAGCGCCGCACGGCGTTCTTGAAAGGTGCTCGTGGCGCCCGTGAGTACACTTGTCTTCATGCAGCACATACCAGGTTTGCGAGGCATGGCCCAAATAAAGGCAGGTCCCGCCGTGGGCCCTTATGATATCATGATTCCCATCATGAGTTCTCTCCTCTACGACCAACCAAACAAGTTTTGAAGACAATCAAGTTAAGCAGTACCCAATCCGAACCGATGCTTGCACAGCACAGCCGACGTAACGGTCGGGGAAACGAAACCAAACGACACGCCCCTAAGAACCTCATCCTTTGATCCAAAATTCCAAAAAATAAACCCGTGAAAAAGTACGACATACCCGAGGCGGTGGCCGCGGCAGCAGAGGAAGCACGTGACCAACGCCGCAAGTACGCCGGGCGAGCGAGGGGGGATACTTAAAAGTACTGCGCCCCATCTCCCTCCGTCGAGGTGACGGAATCGACCGAGCGCTGTCGATGTTGTGCCTCCTCCGATTGCAGGTCCATGGTTTTGAGCGCGTCTGTGCTGTTCCCACCGTGCAAGATGGCCTGAGATCCCTGTGTACCGGTGGGTGGCGGGTCCCAGCAAGAAAAGTGGTCAGCTTGCGGTGGCCAGGAAAGTGCCCGCGCGCTCGATACAAAGAGAGATAGACAGGGGCAGTTCCCCCCTGCCTTGATGGTGCCCCATGTTGCAGTCGAAGTGCGGAGGGCAAGCGGTACGGTGCTCTCGCTGCAGCAGCTGCTGCTGTCCTTGGTACCGTCAATCGATCGTGGGCGTGGTGGCATCGCTGATAGGCCGACCGCGCTGTCTCTCGTTATTGGTCCGTACTTTATAGTCCCACGTGGTTTAAGTACGCCAAAGGTCTTGAAAGAACAAACATAAAGGAAAATACTACCCTCTAGACGTAGATATTTCCCTGCGAAGTGACAAGGGACCAAAATTGTCAAAAAAAGACCAAGATACAAATACCAAATATTCAGAACGAAGCCATGTCCGTAAGTAGCTGTTGTAGTCAACCGCCTCTCCCATCACCGAAAAACGCTCCCATTCGGGTGAACAACACGCAGTGCCAAAGGCCGTCACATGACGTTGGCACGACGGATCTACCGAACCTCCCGACTCACCGAGATGATGGTATCAGCATCCTCCGTCGATCCACCGGTGACCCTCGCCAGTTCTTCGATGCTCAGCTTCGAGGCAGCACGGACAAGCGTGGAGAACACGCTGGGGCTGTTGAGGTCCGTGGATGCGAAGTTCTTGATCATCGCCTTCTTGAACTGCAGAGGAAGAGGCGTCGATCAGGAGGGTGGGGTGGGGATTGGTGCCGGTGAATACACACGAATTTTGAATGTGCGGGTGTACAGGGGGGAATTCCAAATGTTATCGACGAAAACGTGACAGACCATATGCAGAGATCGCTGCGTGAGGGCATGCGCATGTCCAAGGCACAAGGCAACAACCATTTTGAAGAAAAACGGCCGGTTCTGTACGCCACGTCAGCGGGGGGGGGGGGGGGGGGGGGACCCCAAAACCGGGGTGGCGGAATCCTTTGGCCCTT